AGCGCATCTTTCATAGCCTCATTTTGAAAACGCAAAAAAGAAAATACAAAGCTGGCGTGTCACATTAATCTGTTAAAACATTCGGAATAGGGGGGAAAATAAAGTGGTCATTGGTAGCCTCCAATGCCCATGGCGTTGACGACGTGCGAGTCTTTCACGACCCAGCCGGTTTGCACGTATTTGGTGAGCCAGCTGACTTCACGTCCGCGGTGGCCGTCGCAGTCGCGGCAGCCCTTCCGCACCATTTCGAGGCCCATGACGCCATCCATTACGCCGTTTTTGCCGCCGACGGTGGCTCCCAGGCCCGTCCAGCTGAGGCGGCGGTTGTCCTTTCGAGTTCGTTTTGTTTGTGCGTGGTTGGCCATGGCGGCCAGCTCGCGCCTCTCGGCAACATCACGGTCAATGACCATGACGTAGTCGAGAAGGCTACTGGGCGCCGAGGGCGATGATGGGTCCGGGAACAGTGCAGAGAGGTAGTCCGTCAGCAACATGACCGGGCGCGGGTCGGGAATCCAGTGGCCTGAAGGTTGGGGGATCTGGTTGTGGATGATGTAGACGCCGCCGCAGAAACGACCGTCGAACTTCTTGTTCACCGCACGCAGGACGCCCATCTGCGCAAAGGGGTCGTTGGCGTACGCGAAGTGCTCGATGTGCGGCCCGCGCTCGTCGACGACGGCTTCTTCGAAGCGGGATTTGCGGCTCTCACCCAGCGGGACGACAAATTCCGGCGCGGCTGCGCCAAAGGTGTATATCTCGAGCTTGTTGAGTTTCTCGGGGTGAATATCGGCGCAGAGACGGGCGAGAACCTGTGCCATGGGGATGGTGCCGTTGTTGTGGGCTAGAACGGCGACCCGGATCACGGCGGTGTCGAGGAGGGCGGTGCGGAGCTCGGAGTAGAGGGTACGCGAGGCTTGGGTTTGGAAGGGGAAGCAGCGTTGGATCGCGAGGAGGAGCATGTCGAAGGGGAGGCCGTACGTGGCCATTTGGATTCCGCTGAAGGACTTTCCAAAGAGCCTTGCGAGTCGGGGGAGGGTGCATTGTGTGAGGTGGGTGGAACTATAAACACTGTTGTTAGCAATGTCCGGGTCTCGGAGCAAACTGGAGAAACACTCACCTGGTTCCCATGCCACCGATGAAGATCCATTTCTCCTCGTTTTCCTCTGGCTGTGGGGTGTTATTGCCAAACTCGTCGCAGCTTGCCATGATATCACTCCCGTTCATCAACCAGCTCAGACCCAGGACCAAGCTCATTGACGTTCCCAGCCATGCTACAAATAGGATGCCAGGCAAGACGATGAATAAAGGTAGGGCAAGAGTGATCACAGCCACTTCGACAATTGCAAGACTGAGCTGAACGATAATATCCTTCAGGTGGTTTTTCGACAAATGTGTGCGGTGGTTGGTGATGTGTGTCCTTAGTGAGGACATCAGTCCCGGCATCATCCGCCACATCTCCCGCAAGTCATCATGGAGCAGCGAAAGCATCGGCTTCTGAGCCAGTGGTACCGTACCGCAAGCTCCGTCGATCAACGGCGGGATGTATGTGACTGATGGGCCATAGTTCTTTATCGGACCACACAAACTTGATCTCGGCGAACTTCGTGGTGAGCTTCGAGGGGACTGGGAGGAACGAGGAGATGTGATGGGCGACTGGTGAGATGGCGACCTCGCGAGCCAAGGCATGCTAGGCGAGGCTGTCGGTGACCTTTTTGCTGCGATGGACGGCATCGAGACCAAGACCTCCCGAAGGAGGATTTGCTGTTGGTGAAAATAATGTAGGGTTAGGGTATTCTGGAGAGCAGAACGAAGCTCAGATGTAGCTACCTAGCTAACCACGGGGTAAATAGGCCGAGTATTCGGAAAGCGGAGAGCAAGGGGTTCAGCCAGAGCAGATAGGTAACGTTCGTTAAAGACTTGGTGTGCAGCTGGGTTCTTTAAACCTCAGTTGCGTTGTTGTTATTGATTTCTCGTCGTTCTCGCCCTCCCTTATCATTCCTGCCGCTCGGGCAATCTTGTTGCAGACACCGGCGCGGAGCGCTTGTGTGGTGGCGCATTCCACACCCAAATCCGCCCCGTGCCTTGACCGTCTTGAGTGCGACCTATTGGGAAACGTAGTGAGGAGTGAGAAATTGGTTTAGGAAGTTTGTTTTGGCATTTATTCGGTTTGTTTATTTTCTCAACGCCCCCGTTGCTCTGGAGGCAAGGCTCCATCATCATTGTGTTGAGGAAGTTCTCGTCAGTCGTTTCCCGCCTCCGCGAGTGACGCTCAATGCCAATGTCTTAACAAGATACCCCTAGTGCTCAAATAAGAGAGCTGCAACCCGCAACCCATTGAGCTAGTCTTACCGTACCTTGCAGCCGGCAACGACCCTGCAGCGAACCATTGGTTTGCTCATGACCCCAACCTTTGGGAGCGAGGAAAGACCGGATGGCATGAATGGCATTGACCATCCCGGCTCCGCCGGTCCTGGACCCGAGTTGATTCCGCTGCAGCTAAGTTGGACTTTTGCTGCCTGCGCATCTTGGGACGGGCCCCCCAAGCAACAACAGCCCTAAATGTTGATGCGCATCTGGGCAGAATTCTGGTTCTTTTCTCACATTGGTCCAGTTCTTTGTGAGAAGCCGCAGAGTGGCCAGCGCCTCTTTCAAGACCTAGAATTACGCTAGATCTGGTGGTATTTTCGTCCAAAGTTTGTGCGGGGGGGATCTTTGCATGTGAAGCTCTGACGTATCCTTGTCCGTGCTCGCGTCCTTTCCTCTGCATGGGAGCACATTTTTGTAGAAGCACCAGTCCGACCTCCCTTAGGGGCCGTGAGATCTTGTGCGGCTCCAGATCAGCGCATTTCGCCCGTCCAGTGGAGGGTAGGATGGAAAAACGTGGGAAGAAGAGAACTCAATACGCGCCAGGCGAATGTCGAGGATAGGTGGATCGGAATTCGAAAGACATCTGCATTGGGCCTGGGGGGCGTTTTTGTTCGGTAGAGTATCCGCGGGTTGGGAATGCGAGACCAACTCTAAATACACAAAAATGCCCAGCAACGCGTGCCAATGCAAAAAAAGCCGAGGGAACAGTTGCGCGCATTCCGCGGCTTATCTCGACATTGCAAGCAGTCTTACACCTGAACAAAGAGCCTCGTCTTGGAGCTGTCTTGAACCCTAGCGATAGTTTAGGCCTTCGTTTCTAGCTCGGTTTGCCGCACCAATTGCCCAAGATCAAACAGGAGGCGTTCTCGTCTCCCGTCCTGGGAACCTACATTTCTCGGGCGCGTATTCCTCGAAGTTAAGCTATGATCACGAAGCACAGACCGCACGTGGAGACTGGCGATGGATTTCCCGTTTGCCGTCCCTTGAACTATGAAACTTTTCCGTCAGCGGCTTATGTGTGCAACCTTGAATACCGAATTTGCTCAAATGGGGGTTTACCCATCTCGAAACTGAGTATAGCGTGTATCAGGCTGCGACTGATTGTCTGGGCGAACAAGATGCGGGCTAAGAGCTCATCTGTAAAGGAGAGCTTTCTCCGCCGCCACTTCTAGCCTCGTGGGAAACATGCCAGTTGATAATGATCCGGGCAAGAAGTCAACAAACATGCGCCACCAAAAGCCACAAACCATAACGGCTGCCAATGATTCCCAGGGCCCAGAACTATGGTGGGAAAGAGTATCGATGATCCTAACACCACTTCTGTCCAAGGCAGTAACGATTTCCCTTCATCCCGTGACAAGGAGATTCATATGCTTTGCATTACTGGAATTTGGCGCGAGAAAACTCAGTTAATGTCTATCGCGTACCGAACTCTCGGTACCTAGTAAACAAGAAATCCAAGACGCAGCCCTTCAATTAAGGAGGCGGCATGTCCGAATGCCTGCCTGAAATAGGGCCACTCAAGTTACGTGCCAAGTATGGGGTAAAGAGTTAAAACGCGGTTGTTACAACGCTTTCTTCACAACTGGGTTCATTAAAGATAGTCTCAATTGTGAATTCTCCGGTATAAATTTAAGAGCATGATATCTCTCCTTGACTTTTTGTCGCTCGAATACAAGTGCCATTGATGAAGGCCTCACTTTCCAGATACTTTGGTGACCTTTAGGTTCCAAAGTTGAAGGTTATATCTGTCGCCTGAATATATTGCAGCTCACTCTTAAGCAGGACCCTGCGTTTTTTTAATGGGAGCAAATCAAACGAGTCGTATTGTATTTATCTCTAGGTGAGACTCTCAATTGTAGAAGGCTTAGGTGCTGCACTCATTGACTTGGGCGTTGATGACGTCAACAGTTCCAGTGTAACTTCGATATTATCAAATACTGCTGCAAGAAGTGACTTTCGAAGCTTATTCCCCATCTACTGTCAAATTCCCACTTCCTCACCATGGCCTAGAACGAATTTCTTGTCGAGTATGGGGTCGCTAGGCTGAGAGACTAAGTCAATGACGGAATACTTACTCAACTCTTCAGTGAGAGCCAGGAGCCGAATCCGCTTCGAATGCTCCCACACACTTGTAGATCAGCAGTGGCCTGTTACTTCTCTACCTAAATCTCACGTGTTTTGAGTTTGTTTTCGGCTGTAATCTGACCGCTTCGTCGAACCAAGCTATCAGCCAACACCCTCACACGTGGCTGCCAATGACACAGAGCCAACCATGTGGTTCATCCCAACACCGAACTTTTAATTTTCGCATGATCATGTCCGCAATGGTATTTTCTCACATGCATGATGCAACATAAAAAAGGTTGGGCCAATTGTGGCCAGGTAATGACATGACACTGTATCTCATCCATTGGTCCCCTCATTCATGACATCAACGACTCCAAAAGTACCTGTTCGTCATTGAGAGCCGCTTTAAACGCCTCAGCCGAGCAGAGAAACTTTTATCTCACAGCTAGGGCTGCCCTGTCACATACATATTAATATTGATCTACGTGCTGTTTCAATATTCTGACAGCTATCTTGACTCTGGTCTAAATCCCCCTTGCTTGAGATATCCGGGATCAACAGGCACAATGTCTGGCTCTGATACAACAAAGTTGCCCCTCGACAGTGGGCCGGCATACGGATTAGGTCATGCAGAGAGAAGTGGCGCGGAAAGTCCCATGCTCCATGGTCTAGACGGACTGACGTTGTATGAAAAGAAATGCGTCCTCATCAACCGCGAGATCGATACTCAAGGCATGGGAAAGTACCAATGGTACATATGGGCTTTGTGCGGCTTCGGATACATGCTCGATCTTCTTTGGGCGCAGGCATTCGGCCTCGTCCTCAGCCCTCTGCAGCAGGAGATGGGCTTTGGTGACGGTGCATCGGGCAACATCGCGACTAGCTTCAATGCCGGATTGACGGCCGGGGCGTTTGTTTGGGGCTTTTTAGCAGACATCATTGGTAAGTGATGTTCATTTTCAGCGCTAGGTCCTTGTTTTGAATATCATTCCTGTGGTTGGCGTAATTGACGTCAATCAGGTCGTACCTGGGCTTTCAACTTGACTTGCCTTATCGCCTCAATATTCGGACTTTGTCTCGGTGCCTCGAATAATTACAACACCTTCCTCGTGCTCACGGCCTTTGTGGGTGTCGGTGTGGGCGGCAACATCCCTATCGACACTACGATTACTCTGGAGTTTATCCCACAAGTAAGCAGGCCTGATTTGTCTTTACTGTTCTTGATAATCCTGACTCCTAAGCAGAACAGACGCTTCCTTCTTGCTTGCCTGTCCATCTTTCAACCTATCGGCGTAGTCGTATGCAGTGCCATCGCCTTTGGCTTCATTCCTGTTTACTCATGCTCGCCAAACTTTTCCGAGGATGAGCCGCTGCCATCATGCAACACCGCCGAACCTGGAGTGGAGTGTTGTGCGCGCGCTGACAACATGGGATGGAGATACCTACTCTTCACACTCGGCGCAATCACACTTTTCGTCTTTATCCTCCGCTTCTTCGTCTTCAAATTCCAAGAAACGCCAAAGTATCTCATTTACCGTGGACATGACGCCAGAGCCATCGAGACCCTTCAGCACATGGCCAAGGTCAACAAGAAGCATTGTGGCCTCACTCTAGAGATGTTCGAGTCTCTAACAAGTGACGAGCATGAAGGCTCCGTGAGCAGCGCACTCAGCGCGACGCCTGCGCTTGGCGGCGGAGCAAGGCAGCAGAACATGAAGTGGACAGCAAAGGCGAAAATGGAGCTCGGCCGGTACAAGATGCTCTTTGACGGCTTTCAGATGACTCGTCTAACGATCCTGGTCTGGCTGACGTACATTATGGACTTTTGGGGATTCACCGTCGCGGGTAAGTGTTTTGCACTCACCAAAAAAGAGAACTGGTTACTGATCACTTCGTTTAGG